TACTTTATGTCAGGTACTGTAGGGGCAGGTACTTTATGTCAGGTACTGTAGGGACAGGTTCTTTATATCAGGTACTGTATGGACAGATACTTTATGGCTGGTACTGTATGGACAGGTACTTTATTTCAGGTAGTGTATGGACAGATACTTTATGGCAGGTACTGTGTGGACAGATACTTTATGAGAAGTACTGTATTGACAGATACATTATGTCAGGTACTGTATTGACAGATACATTATGTCAGGTACTGTATGGACAGGTATTTTATGTCAGGTACTGTATGGACAGATACTTTATGTTAAGTACTGTATGGACAGATACTTTATGTCAGGTACTGTATGGACAGATACATTATGTCAGGTACTGTATGGACAGGTATTTTATGTGAAGTACTGTATTGGCAGATACTTTATGTTAAGTACTGTATCGACAGATACATTATGTCAGGTACTGTATGGACAGGTATTTTATGTGAAGTACTGTATGGACAGATACATTATGTTAAGTACGGTATCGACAGATGCATTATGTCAAGTACTGTATGGACAGATACTTTATGTGAAATAGTGTATGGACAGATACATTATGTCAGGTACTGTATGGACCAGCATTCGAAATAACCACTAGCTCAGTAGCCCGTTTCTAAGACGTGTTGTGATTGGTCAGACTTGAGTCTGATTGAGTATGACAGAGTGCTTAACTGGAATGTCACTATTTGAATACTAGTAGTTATAAACCTGAAATTTGTGCTGAATCATCTGGTCCTGAATTAGCTACTTTTGAGAGTTTTGTATCTTTATCTAGTTTGGCTAGTAAATTTTCATTCGGGCTAGTAACTTTTAAGACTTCCTAGCCCGGTGTAGCAGGCCATTTCTTCCCCGGTCTAAACTTTCCCCGGGGAGAATCTGGCCTAGGCCAAACTTTCCCTGGGGAGGTTTTGTCCTAAAGTACTGTCGGAAATAGAAAAACACTGTTTTTTCACATTTATATCTACAATTTATGTAGTTAATATATGAAAGTGTGAAATATCTGTTAAACTAAATTCGGCCTAACTACAGTATCAGCGGTAGGGAGATAGGAAACGTAAAAGAAGGACTTTACTTAGGAGAGATTAGTGCAGAAATGAGCCATGCGGTCTTTTTCTAAGTCCAATGCGACTTATTTAGAACAGACCATGACTTTATGCAGATTAATGTGCGATGATATTGTACTACAAATGACACTTTTTAAATGCCCATTTTGAAATTAGACTTAGCTTCATTATAAATGATAGCTGACATAAAATATTACAACTTTAATACTGAAACTATTAAGGATGTAGCTACCATTGAGTCTCACTATCACTATAAAAAGAAACAGGTAGGAGGGGTCGTCTCAAAAGCAAAACCAGGATGGGTGTTGGAGACGGTGGTTGGGGTCGGGCTGGGGGATAGAGATATCAGATATAAAACTATAAGATAAGATAATCAATAGAGACATATTCGATACACATGAAAAAGCATAAAATATGTTTGAGATGATCCCTTGTGCCTGTGCACAGCACATGCATTTCATGCCAAGTGAGTCCAGGGTCCGTTGTTATACCTGGCTGAGTGACCTAATTGCCAACTATAGTCTGATCTATTGTTTGCAGCAGCTATTCATATTTTTTCTAAGTTTCGTCCCAATTTACGAGTAAACATGTTTTTCTTGATATCGTATTACGCATCCCACTGAACGCCCAGGCCAATGTGGGTAAATTGCGACATATGCTATTTGCAATTGTGCATATTTTAGGAATACAGAGTAACAGCCTAAAAACAGTTGTTTTCTATTTCCAACAGTACTTTAAGATATTGTTTCCCCAGGGAAAGGTTTGGGCTAGGCTAAAGTTTCTCCCCCTAGGCCAAACTTTCCTCCCTGTTTTATATGAAAAGGGGGAGATTCTGGCCTAGTTAGGCTACCTCTTCCCCTATCACAAGGGGGAGAACAAGTTATTATAAACATCAAACCACCATTCCTATGATGACACATTGCATTAGTTCCTCATCTGTCCAAATCATGTCACAAAAAGATGTAAACATTCAGTTGCACGTTTGATGGGTAAGTAATTATAAGATGCAATATACACAGGTTGCTTGCTCTGTTATCATGCTGTTTATTATCTAATATTTGTTGTATTTATGTATAAATGTAATGGAACATTATTCACATAAACTTGTTTACTAATCCATAATCACTTTGGGTGAATGAAATATATTTCAGATATCCATGGGCCAAGTTTACCTGTTATCAAACCTTGTCTTTTGAATATAGAATAAGGCAATATAGTTGAATGATAGATGATACAGCATTTGATGTAGATATTGTGTTGTGTTGTTGTTGTTGTCTTGATGTTTACGTCTACTTCCAACTGTTAAGTTGATGTTGCCGACGTGGATGCCATATTTAAAGCCATGAATGAGGGAATAAAATTTTGAATGGATATGGGCATCCAAGTAAATACTGGGTATTTAGTTAAAGTTTCAAATATAGTAATGATTTTGAGATAAGCCAATTTGGAATAAGTGGGGATAAGTAAATTATGGAAATATAAAAATACGTAATTGATAATATAAAACAAAAGTAATGATATGATATATAATAAAGTAAAGATACATTTTGTAATATTAAATTATTTTTAATAATTTGGAATTAGGGAATTATGTTGGGTCAAACATGATTTGACAAAACAAAATGTGAACCATGTACATGTTATATATGAAGATGAACTGTAAATTGTTAATGGAACTTGACATCAACATGAATATCTTATCAATATGTTCACATGAATAGCTATGTCTTGTTTTCATTTCTGACTTTTTCAAGACGAACATAAAAATGAAAACAAGGTTGGGAAAGAAATAGCCTGGCTAAGCCAGAAGTACTGTGTGGACAGATATTTTTATGTCAGGTTCTGTATGACAGATACTTTATGTGAAGTACTGTATGTACAGATTTTATGTCAGGGTACTGTATGGACAGATACTTTATGTGAAGTACTGTATGGATGAATACTTATGTCAGGTACTTTGTGGACAGATAGATTATGTCAGGTACTGTATGGACAGATACTTTACATGAAGTACTGTATGGACAATGCTTTATATCAGGTACTGTATGGGCAGGGTCAGGTACTTGTATGGACAGGGTAGGGACAGGTACTTTATGTCAGGTACTGTATGGACAGGTACTTTGTGTCAGGTACTGTATGAACAGATACTTTATGTTAAGTACTGTGTGGACAATGTTTTATATCAGGTACTGTATGGACAATGTTTTATATCAGGTACTGTATGAACAGATACTTTATGTCAGGTACTGTATGGACAATGTTTTATATCAGGTACTGTATGGACAGGTATTGTATGGACAATGTTTTATATCAGGTACTGTATGGACAATTTTATTATGGACAATGTTTTATATCAGGTACTGTATGGACAGATAGTTTATGTTGAGTACTGTATGGACAATGTTTTATATCAGGTACTGTATGGACAATGTTTTATATCAGGTACTGTATGGACAGGTACTTTATATCAGGTACTGTATGGACAATGTTTTATATCAGGTACTGTATGGACAGATACTTTATGTTGAGTACTGTATGGACAATGTTTTATGTCAGGTACTGTATGGACAGGTACTTTATGTCAGGTACTGTATGGACAATGTTTTATATCAGGTACTGTATGAACAGATACTTTATGTTGAGTACTGTATGGACAATGTTTTATATCAGGTACTGTATGTACAGGTACTTTATATCAGGTACTGTATGGACAATGTTTTATATCAGGTTCTGTATGGACAGGTACTTTATATCAGGTACTGTATGAACAGATACTTAATGTCAGGTACTGTATGGACAATGTTTTATATCAGGTACTGTATGGACAGGTACTTAATGTCAGGTACTGTATGGACAATGTTTTATATCAGGTACAGTATGGACAATGTTTTATAACAGGTACTGTATGGACAATGTTTTATATCAGGTACTGTTTGGACAATGTTTTATATCAGGTACTGTATGGACAATGTTTTATAACAGGTACTGTATGGCCTATCTTTATATCAGGTACTGTATGGACAATGTTTTATATCAGGTACTGTATGGACAATGTTTTATATCAGGTACTGTATGGACAATGTTTTATATCAGGTACTGTATGGACAGATAGTTTATGTTGAGTACTGTATGGACAATGTTTTATATCAGGTACTGTATGGACAGGTACTCTATGTCAGGTACTGTATGGACCGGTACTTTATATCAGGTACCGTATGGACAGATACTTTATGTTGAGTACTGTATCGACAATGTTTTATATCAGGTACTGTATGGACAGGTACTTTCTTTCAGGTACTAGATGGACTACTGGTGTTCCTATTAATTGAAATAATGGAAGATTGGTCGCAGTGACCAAACGACCAAGCAATCGATCATATTTTCTCATAATCGAACACAAACAATTTTGGAACCGCTGTAATAGAGTTTGAAATACTTGATGATGGAACATATCTAGGACATTGTCAGGGCCGGGAAACGTGTTTAATTCTTAGAAAACTCACTTCACTTTCTGAAAAGTCATGACTGAATATTTCTTGAAGAATCTGGGAAGTTTATGTTACACTGGAACTGAATCATTTTCCACTGGATGTGAAATTTGCAAATGTAATTTGTGCAGTTTCTAAATAAAACAAAAAACAACAACAGAGAACCAAATGTTTTTTCTTTATACTTATCTGCAACTACAACCTGAATAGGAAAATCTAAAAAATGACGCTTTAACCAATTTGTTTCGATGATTGGTCGTTGGTATCGAACCAATCATCAATTGTGAGATTTCAACCAATTCCCAACACTAATATGGACAGATACTTTGTGTAAGGTACTGTATTGATGAATACTTTATGTTAGGTACTGTATGGACGAATACTTTATGACAGGTACTGTATTGGCATGTTATTTCAGTGACCGAGAGTGAGATATGTGGCGGTATTCTCGAAGCAGCAGAGACAGACAACAGAGCTCTTGTGTTCCATCGAGTTCTCAACAACATCAACACACAGCACCCTCTGGCATGTAGGTCTTCAAACAGTGCCTCAAGTCACAACATGATGTTTCAGAACTTTGTTATTGACATACAAAATATTAACTGAAATATTTTTATCAAGAGGAAAAGAAAACAAATGAATCCCTGAATCAGCTTGAAATGACCTGCCTGTCTGGTTGGTATAAGTAGTGTTAAGGCAGGGACACAATAATTTCTGGTTGATATGAACAGTGTTAAGGCAGGGACACAATAATTGTCTGGTTGATATGAAGAGTGTTAAGGCAGGGACACAATAATTGTCTGGTTGATATGAACAGTGTTAAGGCAGGGACACAATAATTGTCTGGTTGATATGAAGAGTGTTAAGGCAGGGACACAATAATTGTCTGGTTGATATGAACAGTGTTAAGGCAGGGACACAATAATTGTCTGGTTGATATGAAGAGTGTTAAGGCAGGGACACAATAATTTCGGTTGATATGAACAGTGTTAAGGCAGGGACACAATAATTGTCTGGTTGATATGAAGAGTGTTAAGGCAGGGACACAATGTTGATATGAACAGTGTTAAGGCAGGGACACAATAATTGTCTGGTTGATATGAAGAGTGTTAAGGCAGGGCATTGTCTGGTTGATATGAACAGTGTTAAGGCAAAGCACAATAATTGTCTGGTTGATATGAACAAGGCAGGACACAATAATTGTCTGGTTGATATGGCAGTGTTAAGGCAGGGACACAATAATTGTCAGGTTGATATGAACAGTGTTAAGGCAGGGACACAATAATTGTCTGGTTGATATGAAGAGTGTTAAGGCAGGGACACAATAATTGTCTGGTTGATATGAACAGTGTTAAGGCAAAGCACAATAATTTCGGTTGATATGAACAGTGTTAAGGCAGGGACACAATAATTGTCTGGTTGATATGAACAGTGTTAAGGCAGGGACACAATAATTGTCTGGTTGATATGAATAGTGTTAAGGCAGGGACACAATAATTTCGGTTGATATGAACAGTGTGAAGGGGGGGGACACAATTATTGTCTGGTTGATATGAACAGTGTTAAGGCAGGGACACAATAATTGTCTGGTTGATATGAACAGTGTTAAGGCAGGGACACAATAATTGTCTGGTTGATATGAACAGTGTTAAGGCAGGGACACAATAATTGTCTGGTTGATATGAACAGTGTTAAGGCAGGGACACAGTAAATCATCATGGTGTGTTAAAATATTCACATGTTACCTTTACAGGGAGATTCATCGATGTAGATAATGAGGGCAAAGTTGACATGAAGGCCAAGGATCGTCGGGAGAAGTTAACCCTAAAGAAGATACCCGATGCTTTGGCCTCGAGTCAGATGCATGAGTATAACATCGAGTGGACAGACAACTGTGTTGACCCCCAAGACCCAAAGCATCTAGTCTACCTACAGACTCTGTGTGCCACCTTCCAGAGCAGCATGGAGAAGATGATTGATGCCAGCCTGGACAAACAGTCATCATATACCAATGATGATCTTTACTCAGAGGTTCTCCATCATCTGCATTTCAGTGTCAAGAAGAGTGAAATATTTTTTGGTAGAGAAGAGGAGCTCAAAGACATTCAGGAAAAACTGAACAAGGTTGTAAACATATCTGAGGACATGCATGAAGATGAGTCACCATCTGTGGATGTTACTGAAGAGGAAGTGGAGGAGGAGGAAGTGGAAGAGGAGGAGGAGGAAGAAGATGGTAGGGATAAACATTCACACCAAATGAAGGATTTTCTTGACTCCAGGGGAGTTAAATACCATTTGGGTGATACTTTTGATGACTATGATTCAGATCCGTCCAAGAACCCTCAGCTCGAACAGATTCAGCTTCCCGCTGTGAAGTCATTCAAGAGACCAGTGATAATCCACGGGGAATCAGGAAGTGGGAAGACAGCACTCATGGCACAAATTGCTAAACTTTCTAGTTCCTGGTTTCCTAAATCAGTGCTGATTGTGCGGTACCTTGGAACATCTCCTCAGTCTAGCTCAATACGAGAAGTTCTTGTCAGCATCTGCAGACAAATCTGGACTATTTTCAGTGTCCCGAAAGGCTCTGGTATTGACATAACCACAGACTTCCAGTATCTACTCTCCTACTTCAGTGCACTTCTGTGGAGGGTCAACACTTCCAGTAAACCACTTGTCATCATCTTTGACTCAGTGGATCAGCTCCTGCCTTCAGATCATGCTCACACCGTCAACTGGCTGCCCACAAAGACCCCACCATATGTCCACATCTTGGTGTCCATGATGCCAAAGGTCAACAACTGTCTAGACAACATCCAACAGCACCTGCCCTTTACACAACAGTACGTGCAGCTCTCCGTTTTCTCAGAAGAAGCTGGGGAAAAGATGGTGTCAGCCCAGTGCAGCAGAAAAGGGCGTTGTTTGACGAGACTTCAGAAAAATTTCCTAATGGAGCACTTTGCCGAATGCCGCCAGCCCCTGTTCCTGAAGCTGATTGTGGATGAAGCTATCACCTGGAAGTCCTTCACCCCGTTGTCTGACATCCAGGTTGGCAACACCGTGAGGGCAGCCATCAATACACTCTTTGACAAGATGGAGCGATCACATGGCTTTGTAATCACCACCAAAGCATTTGGTGAGTTAAAACATTTTATTTTATCTAGGTACTTATCTATTTTACATTTACAACAAGTTCAGAACAGATATGTAAGTTTACATTATGGGTTTATATCTTCATCTGTTTGCAATTTGGATATGTTATCAGATATGAAAAGATTCAACAATGATAATAATTTAAATTTGACAAACAATGACATATTCTTTTGTACTCTAATACCTGTAATGTCAATGTGTGTGTAAAGTGTGACCCTGTATTCTAGGATACTTGTGTGCTGCTCGTCAAGGGCTGGGAGACACAGAGATGGAGGACTTGCTTTCTCTGGATGACGATGTCCTTCAGGATACATATCTCTATCACCTCCCCCCTGACCCAAACATAATACGGCTGCCACCTTTGTTATGGAAACGGATCCGCAGTGACATTTCAGAGTACCTGACAGAACGTCAGTCTGGCAACAAGGTGGTAGTAAACTGGTACCATCGTCAGTTCTCAGAAGTTGCACTTCAGAGATATTTGCCTGCATCTACGCAGCAGACGTTTCACACTTCACTGGCGGAGTATTTCTCTGGGAAATGGAGTGACATGGAGAAGCCTCTTGAACTCTATAAAATCAAGACAGGCTGGTACCCCAATGCCATGCGACAAGTTCCAGCACAGCCCCTGGAGTATGAGAATGTGTACAATGTGAGGAAGCTGCAGGAACTGCCCTACCACCTGGTCAAGTGTGGCGACCTCACCACATTCCACGGCACTGTTGCCTGTAACTTCCACTGGCTGTACGCCATGTGTCATGTCATGTCACTCACTGACGTCCTCAACGACTTAAAGATGGCCATGGCAAGTCTGGACGCAACAGGTGACATTGACAATGTTGCACTGTATGATGACATCAAGTTCGTCAATGACGTCCTCATCCTTGGTAGTGACTTTATCCGAAAAAGTCCATCTAACCTGGCAACACAGGTATGTATGTATAGCTGCATCGTTGGTACGTCTTTTGATTTTGTGAGATAATCCCAGTGTAGATTACGGTACAGAATGTGTCTCAAGTACCCCATGCTTGTTGCAAGTGTACTAATGGAGTGGCATGGATCATTGTTCATGCTTTCAACCTCTAGTGCCCTAGTATCCCATGCTTGTTGCAAGTGTACCTGTGTGGTAATTCAGATTATTTATAGGCCAATGTTATTAAGCAGTATTATATATTGGTGATAATGTATAGTACTGTGAGTACAGTATATGTAATGAGTGAGTGAGTGAGTTTAGTTTTACGCTGCAATCAGCAATATTCCAGCTATGTCGGCAGTCTGTAAATAATCGAGTCTGGACCAGACAATCGAGTGATCAACAGCAATATGTAATGGATTATCAGGGTAACAGTATTGTATGCAATGAGGGTAGTGCATGTAATTGGTGTAGTGCATGTATTTAGTGAACGGTATGTATTAAGTGTAGTGCATATATTTGTGGTGTAAATATGGAATACAGTGTAAGTATTGTGTGTCGACATTGTCAGTGAGCGTATGAGGTCAGGTTATATTCTACATGTGGCCTCCACAGATTGTGTCCCAGCTGGGCCCCCAGTACAGTGGGTCCCCAGGGATCACAGGCCTGGTCCAGTCTGCCTACACCTGGCTGAGCACAAGGAACCACCCCCACCTCCTACCTGAGGGGAAGACCATGCCGAGCCCTGGAGGGTGCCTCCTCAGCTCCATCAATGTGGACATCAACATCCTTGGTAAGACAACATTTCGGGGGGCCCCTGCAGAATGTTTTGTTCATTATTAACATACTTGCAAGTCTTGGTACTTACCATGTCATTTGAGAATGTTTAACATTATCCTTAAATCAAGATTATGAAAAGTGTGACATCTGTTGGAAATAATGAGCAAAGTCTTTAAACTCAAGACATAAATCCCCAAATGTGTTGCCCAGCATGGTGCATAAATAGTGATAAAGTCTCCTTCGAAGATACTTGTGAGTTTACAATGGTTGACCTTGTTGAATGTAGTCAGTGTGACCTCATGGAGTGGATTGTGAGTCATTGTGACCTCATAGCATGGATTGTGTGTCATTGTGGCCTCAGCATGGATTGTGTATCATTGTGACCTCATGGAGCGGATTGTGAGTCATTGACCTCTTGGAGTAGATTGTGTGTCGTGACCTCATGGAGTGGATTGTGTGTCATTGTGACCTCATGGAGTGGATCATGAGACATTATGACCTCATAGCATGGATTGTGTGTCATTGTGGCCTCAGCATGGATTGTGTATCATTATGACCTCATGGGCCTCAGTATGGATTGTGAGTCATTATGACCTCATGGAGTGGATTGTGTGTCTTTGTGACCTCATGGAGTGGATTGTGTGTCATTGTGACCTCATGGCATGGATTGTGAGTCATTATGACCTCATAGCATGGATTGTGTGTCATTGTGGCCTCAGCATGGATTGTGTATCATTATGACCTCATAGCATGGATTGTGTCATTGTGGCCTCAGTATGGATTGTGTATCATTATGACCTCATAGCATGGATTGTGTGTCTTTGTGGCCTCAGCATGGATTGAGCACATTATGACCTCATAGCATGGATTGTGTGTCATTGTGACCTCATAGCATGGGCTGTGTATCAATTTGACCTCATAGCATGGATTGTGTGTCATTGTGGCCCCAGCATGGATTGAGTATCATCATGACGTCAAAGCATGGATTGTGTATCATTATGACCTCATAGCATGGATTGTGTGTCATTGTGACCTCATAGCATTGGTTGTGTATCATTATGACCTCATAGCATGGATTGTGTGTCAGTGACCTCATAGCATTGGTTGTGTATCATTCTGACCTCATAGCATGGATTGTGTGTCATTGTGACCTCATAGCATGGATTGTGTGTTATTGTGACTTCATAGCATGGATTGTGTGTCATTGTGGCCTCAGCATGGATTGTGTGTCATTGTGACTTCATAGCATGGATTGTGTATCATTATGACCTCATAGCATGGATCGTGTGTCAGTGACCTCATAGCATTGGTTGTGTATCATTCTGACCTCATAGCATGGATTGTGTGTCATTGTGACCTCATAGCATGGATTGTGTGTCATTGTGACCTCATAGCATGGATTGTGTGTTATTGTGACTTCATAGCATGGATTGTGTGTCATTGTGGCCTCAGCATGGATTGTGTGTCATTGTGACTTCATAGCATGGATTGTGTATCATTATGACCTCATAGCATGGATTGTGTGTCAGTGACCTCATAGCATTGGTTGTGTATCATTCTGACCTCATAGCATGGATTGTGTGTCATTGTGACCTCATAGCATGGATTGTGTGTTATTGTGACTTCATAGCATGGATTGTGTGTCATTGTGGCCTCAGCATGGATTGTGTGTCATTGTGACTTCATAGCATGGATTGTGTATCATTGTGACCTCATAACATGGATTGTGTGTCATTGTGACCTCATAGCATGGATTGTGTGTCACTGTGACCTCATAGCATGGATTGTGTGTCACTGTGACCTCATAGCATTGATTGTGTATCATTATGAGCTCATAGCATGGATTGTGTATCATTATGATCTCATGGCATGGCTTGTGAGACATTATGACCTCATAACATGGATTGTGAGACATTATGACCTCATGGCATGGATTGTGTGTCATTGTGATCTCATAGCATGGATTGTGTATCATTATGATCTCATGGCATGGATTGTGTATCATTATGATCTCATGGCAAGGCTTGTGCACAATGCTGTGATCTCATCGCAGCTATTGATTGCTGGTCCAGACTCAAATACGCTGTTCATTCAGTATCAATACTGTAGGTGCCAGATTTCAGAATGGCGTATGGAAACAGGAGACATTTACTTAAAGGTCACATGTAAAACACAACTTTGCAGATTCTGATACCTTTCGGTATGGACTTACCGAAACAAATCATCAAAAATGGAAATTCAACTAATTAAGTTGAAAAATAACACGATGAAAAAAAAACGCACGAAATCGGAGTTCAAACGATTCACTAATTTTCCCCCAGGGCTTGGGGAAAAGTGGTTTCAACAGCTGGGCTGCGCTGAGCTGGGCTGCACTCATAGCACATGCGCAGTGAAATAGGTTCGTGCAACTTGGAATTGGGTTGTCCTGTGAATACTTGGTGAAGGCTTTGGTGTGAGCTATTTTTCTAATGTTTTGTTCATATTTCACAGGCGCAAGCTTTTTATATGTTATGACAGTAGATTACTGATTTAACTGTTTATATAATTTCATTTGACTATATCACCACACGTTCTTCTTACTGAGTCACTTCCTCAGTTCAAAACTTAAAAGCAATGTCATCATTAGAATTTCTAACTGTCATATAGATATGTCACAGACAAAACTCAATGTCTGTTTTATTGACACCTATGTGTCTGCCTGCCTGTCTGCTAATGACAATATTCAATACACAACTTCAATCACTGACCACATGCAATTTGAACTTAACACCTACCAGGCTATACACCATAAACAAAACGCATTGATTTATGGCCCGAGTTCGGTCTCTGTCACATTATGTAATTACACAGACAGGCAGGTGTGATACTTGTACACATGTTATGATGTCTGTTAATTGCAAAAATGTTATACACAAAAAATGAGCATGTATTTACAAAATCCAACATCTATATATATACACACACAATGAGCCGTGAGGGCATTTGCAGATGAACCAGACGTTACACTTGAGTGCACACCCACCCGCTCTGACTGGGTTCGGTACCCCGGCTGCTTCGTTTCTTGGGAAGTAAACCCAAGTACACAATATTGCACTTTTGATTTGCAATTGTACACTTATAATTTTGTTTATATGTTTTTTCATAATCAGCAATGTATATTATATGTCATGAATAAGTGATAATTGTGTTTTAATTATGTTTGATTTTTTAAATTATTACAAAGAGTCCATGGGTTACCAGTGTTGTAGTTCTGTATTTCCAAATTTGGAGGTACAGAGTTACCTCCCTGAACAGTACTAGATGGCAATGGGTTCACTCCCTTGGACTGTGGTTGCCTGAAGTGATGAAACAACTCGTCCAGTGTGTTACTAGTATTAGTAATGTTACATTAACTGATGAATAATCATGATTCCATTACTGAATTCACATGTTAGTCACACAACTGTCCTGAACAATCAAAAAGTCTAAGTTATTGTAGAATCTCCTGGTCCCAAAATATACTGTGTCATTGTTATTAGAAGTATACAGACTTTTTTGCCCTGATTGTAGAGGCATTGTTACCTCATCACTTCTGAGAATTGTTTGTTCTCTGTGAATACCTCATACTGGTCATATATACTTTCTTGGTTGGTGTTTGACAGGCAATGACCGTGTATTTGGGAGCTGCATGGTCCTCCAGGAATCCAAGCACAGGCTGTATGTGACAGACCAACAACCAAGTAATGGCAATGACTGTCTGAGAGTGTATGACCTGGATGACAATATGTCCTGCATGGCAGTGGATGACCTCAACAGGAAGGTCAGATCCATTCAGTTCAAGGCCACAGAAAAGTGTGTAGCGTCACAGTTTGGTTTTCATTACTTTTCCTCATGTAAGTTGGCATCCTGGGCCCAGTTAAAAAATCACAAAGCTCTCATAGCGCTACGACTATCGTAGGTCAATGTCACAGTATAGGAGGTATGAATGCTACAAGAAAAGTTATGAGATCTTACACTTACAAGATCTTTGTGAAACGGGACCCTGATGATCAAAATGAGAAAAAAACAGAAAACATCATCTTGTCTTTGAAAGGTTCATTCACAATGGATGTCAGTTCAGAATCAGAATATTTTACTGCTGAAGTTAAATGAAGATGTGCTAGGAACATGAAAAGTGATCCATAAATGCTATAACTCTTTATCTGCAGGTTGCTTCTGGCTGAATCCTTCCACACCAGCAGCAAATACAGTTACACCAGCTACTTTGACGTGTATGACGGCTCGCTCTCCACCCCCATCCACCTCGACTGTAAACCTGGCAATGCTTGTGTGTCTGACTCGGGCAGATTGGTTGCCTGGTCAGATGGTACGGAACTATGATAAATATAATAAAATAATATACTGCCAGTTACGACTCATTTTTAGCATTCTATTGCTAATTCATAATTTGATTGTCCTCATATTATCATTATATTTTTCAGATGAAAAACAACAAATCAAGATTGGAATGTTCAAGAAAACTGGACGAGGCATTGATATCAAGCATGAGCTTAAAAGTAAACCAAGCTATGTCCAGTTTTCTCATGATGAGAAACACCTGGTTACCCTGTCTGGAACTACTGCCTGTATCTATGACTGTCAGTCTGGAGAGATGACTGCAGATATTGGCCCGAATGATAATCCCTTTAATTTCAACACTGGAGATCTTGATTATGGTTCTTCAACCTTTGTCACAAAAGACAACAAATTTATTCATCAAGGCTTCGGGTATAAGAAAAAAAATCATCTGTTTGTGAACAAAGTCCCTTCTGGTGAACTCCTGTTCCAGTTGGAGGGATATAAGGAATATAGCTTGGAACTATGTGTTCTTGATTCAAAGGAAGAGTTCCTCCTGGGGGGACCTTCATCCACATCCTGCATCAACGGAGATAATAATAAACAAGCCAAACTTTTCAACCTCAGTGTTGGAGAGTTGACATCCCAACTTGCTTGTTCAAATGGACCATATGTTGCTTTGAAACTGTTTGGAGACAGAGAGTTATGGGCCCTTGTTGCTAGCTATGGCAGTGCTGAGATCAAGTTGGTCTCTTTAGGACAGCGAAAGACACCGCTATCCGAACCAGTTCTTATGCAGTCAATAACAGACCACAGTCAGGCTATTCTGCAATATGTTGTTTCATCGGATGAAACACTGATGTTTTCAGCGTCTGCTGATAACACAATCAAGCTTTGGGACCTGCCTCGCCTCCTGGAAGAGTCAAAAGAGATTTATTCTCAGAAACAGGCAACAAATACAGATGAGGAGGAAAGGAAAAAGTCATTGGATATTCAAGATGTTGGACAGAGCTCAACATTAAAATTCTCAAAGTGAGGTTGAACAGGTCAATGTCAGGGCAATGTATTCATGCCTCAGTACTTGGATACAGAATGTAACAATGCTCCTGTATGTAAGCACTGTAATCAATGTAATTATAAGGGCTTTAACCATGTTAACCAAACTTAAGGTCACTTATTACCTACGAGGGCGAAAATATCGGGGTTCATATTTTTCATATGATGCCCTAGTTCAAAATGTTACTTTGTCATAGTGAAGTGATGTCATGAACAATGCTATGACATCACGTTTCTTCTGTAACGTTGCTTTCTACATATGGTGACAGCGGGTACCAAGCCTATATGTTTGAAAGTAGATTTGGATTTATTTTCCTCATTTTGACAACTCCGGTAATAAACAGAATATTATATGAGTGCCCATGTCATACTATGTTTACGACACGAGTGCCTAAATGTTGGTATTTCCTGAGTGAGAGCGAGGGATATGCCGATATTTAGGCATGAGTGTCATAAACATAGTATGACATGGGCACTCATATAATATCCTCTATATATATCACACCAGATGGAATCCATTGTAACATGTTTTAGCACATACTTGTGAAAAGGTATGCATAATAATTAGGTGTCGGCATATATGTCCATATTGACCACCTGGGCCGAAAATGCATATCAGCCATATCAGCCCATGCAAATGCTCTAAACTTTAGTAGACGGAGCCTAGTTTATTTTAGAGTTACGTCCCTTGATGTGGTATACAATTAAAAGGTTATGATATGAGTTTCCTTTTGCTGAGGGCTGATATGGTAGTCGAGGGCTGATATGACTCAGCAAAAGGAAAACTGTCATGTGATAACCTGTTATTATGGTACTAGGGTCAGAAGTATCTAACATATGCACAAACAATGTATCTATGTCTTTCTTTGCAAGTTCTGTCTCCATGTGTCTGTCTGTCTTTCTATCTGTCTGTCTGAATCCCTGTCTTTGTGTTCCCAGAGATGACAAGCAGCTGTTCATGTGTACGAAGTATGGATGTCTTCTTAAGCGAGACATGGTGACAGGCACTACTGACCTAGTGATGGAGGCAGAACAGATGAGAACACGACGGAAACTGATGTGCCTGACCTCTAGTGGACGACACCTCGCTGTCCCCAGAAACAAGAAAGTCCTTGTCCTGGATGTCCAAACATGTAAGACACCTTGGAACAGAACATACACTCACTATACTGAGTGAGTGAACGAGTGAGTGAACGAGCGAGTGAAAGGATTGGGTACAACTTTGACCAGTCATGTGGCAGAGTGATATTTGTCACATTTATTGTAACCCACAAGTAGAGGCAGCTTCTTGACAGCCAAAGGAATGAAGTCAGCTTGAGTCTGAACCCATGACTGATTGTATCAGCTTGTTAGAAGCATGTAGTGTTAATATGAACATGGATGAATGTGGATGAAAATATATGGAAATATGTTTGAATGAAGGCAAAAGTGTTTATCAAGTAATACATCCATGTTTCAGCGGAGTTGGTGTATGATCTACAGCATGTGAGTCGCCTGGTGGACTGTCTGGCAGAAGGGGGCAACATCCTCATTGCTGGAACCGCTGGCATGGAGGCCAAGGGCAGGATCTGGAATCTGGACAACGGTAACTTCCTCTCATGGATAGTCAGTAGGAATAGAACGAACATCGAGTCTACTGCACCTCGTTATCAGTCAGTTGTGACAGTACATCAAGTCTGCTGCATAGTGTGAATAGTCAGTAGGAATAGAAGGAACATCGAGTCTACTGCACCTCGTGGATAGTCAGTAGGAATAGAACGAACATCGAGTCTACTGCACCTCGTTATCAGTCAGTTGTGACAGTACATCAAGTCTGCTGCACCTCGTGGGATAGTCAGTAGGAATAGACTGAGCATCGAGTCTACTGCACCTCGTTATCAGTCAGTTGTGATAGTACATCAAGTCTGCTGCATAGTGTGAGTAGTCAGTAGGTATAGACTGAACATCGAGTCTACTGCACCTCGTGGATAGTCAGTAGGAATAGAAGGAACATCGAGTCTACTGCACCTCGTTATCAGTCAGTTGTGATAGTACATCAAGTCTGCTGCATAGTGTGAATAGTCAGTAGGAATAGAAGGAACATCGAGTCTACTGCACCCGTGGATAGTCAGTAGGAATAGAACGAACATCGAAGTCTACTGCACCTCGCTATCAGTCAGTTGTGACAGTACATCAAGTCTGCTGCACCTCGTGGATAGTCAGTAGGAATAGACTGAACATCGAGTCTACTGCACCTCGTTATCAGTCAGTTGTGATAGTACATCAAGTCTGCTGCATAGTGTGAGTAGTCAGTAGGTATAGACTGAACATCGAGTCTACTGCACCGTGGATATCAGTAGGAATAGAAAGAACATCGAGTCTACTGCACCTCGTTATCAGTCAGTTGTGATACTGCATCAAGTCTGCAGCATAGTGTGAGTAGTCAGTAGGAATAGACTGAACATCGAGTCTACTGCACCTCGTTATCAGTCAGTTGTGATAGTACATCAAGTCTTCTGCATAGTGTGAGTAGTCAGTAGGTAAAGACTGTAGGCATTTCCTATTCTCACGGTACTTATGGATATCAGCTGAAAAAAATAACACAAACAATTCTTATCGTTTGAATGCTTGTTGTTTTTAAATGAAAGTCCCTCTCCTCTAACATCTGCATCTATCAGCTGCTAGATCCATCAGATGAATTACCAGTCGTGAGCCTGGTGATAAACAATGCCATCCGCCACTGACGAAATGACGCTTCTCCCATTCTCATGGTATAACAAGGAAGTCACGTTATTGAGTGTATGGAAGAGCAATCCTGCCGGAAAGGGCGGGAAAAGGTTATAATATGTCCAAGTTGGTATAAACTCACCAATATCCGAGACATCGCAAGATTTTGATCACTTGCAGACTTGGGCCACTTCCTAGTTACCGGTCGGCAAGGTAAATAACCGCTAGATGATACATCGAACCCATGCATCACTGAAATATTTGATTGTTGTTTGTACAGGTGAGGCTGTACGTGATGTGACCTTTCTGTACTCTTTCTATGAGACTGCCATAAACAGCACAGGAACACGGGTAAGTCTTCACTGTTGGACCATTGTTGGCACTGTGTGTTGGTGGAGATGGTGAGGCTAGGGCAGTCAGGATCTGACACTGTCCTACCATTGCCGGCACTGTGTGTTGGTGGAGATGGTGAGGCTAGGGCAGTCAGGATCTGACACTGTCCTACCATTGCCGGCACTGTGTGTTGGTGGAGATGGTGAGGCTAGGGCAGTCAGGATCTGACACTGTCCTACCATTGCCGGCACTGTGTGTTGGTGGAGATGGTGAGGCTAGGGCAGTCAGGATCTGACACTGTCCTACCATTGCCGGTACTGTGTGTTGGTGGAGATGGTGAGGCTAGTCAGGGGCAGTCAGGATCTGACACTGTCCTACCATTGCGGCACTGTGTGTTGGTGGAGATGGTGAGGCTAGAGAGTCAGGATCTGACACTGTCCTACCATTGGGCACTGTGTGTTGGTGGAGATGGTGAGGCTAGGATCAGGATGACACTGTCCTACCATTGCCGGCACTGTGTGTTGGTGGAGATGGTGAGGCTAGAGCAGTCAGGATCTGACACTGTCCTACCATTGCCGGCACTGTGTGTGGTGGAGTGGAGTGAGGCTAGAGCAGTCAGGATCTGACACTGTACCCTGCCGCCTGTGTGTTGGTGGAGATGGTGTGCTTGGTGGAGATGACACTGTGAGGCACTGTGTGTTGGTGGAGATGGTGAGGCTAGAGCAGTCAGGATCTGACACTGTCCTACCATTGCCGGCACTGTGTGTTGGTGGAGATGGTGAGGCTAGAGCAGTCAGGATCTGACACTGTCCTACCATTGCCGGCACTGTGTGTTGGTGGAGATGGTGAGGCTAGAGCAGTCAGGATCTGACACTACCATTGCCGGCACTGTGTGTTGGTGGAGATGGTGAGGCTAGAGCAGTCAGGATCTGACACTGTCCTACCATTGCACTGTGTGTTGGTGGAGATGGTGAGGCTAGAGCAGTCAGGATCTGACACTGTCCTACCATTGCCGGCACTGTGTGTTGGTGGAGATGGTGAGGCTAGAGCAGTCAGGATCTGACACTGTCCTACCATTGCCGCACTGTGTGTTGGTGGAGATGGTGAGGCTAGAGCAGTCAGGATCTGACACTGTCCTACCATTGCCGGCACTGTGTGTTGGTGGAGATGGTGAGGCTAGAGCAGTCAGGATCTGACACTGTCCTACCATTGCCGGCACTGTGTGTTGGTGGAGATGGTGAGGCTAGAGCAGTCAGGATCTGACACTGTCCTACCATTGCCGGCACTGTGTGTTGGTGGAGATGGTGAGAGGCTAGAGCAGTCAGGATCTGACACTGTCCTACCATTGCCGGCACTGTGTGTTGGTGGAGATGGTGAGGCTAGAGCAGTCAGGATCTAAGACACTGTCCTACCATTGCCGCACTGTGTGTTGGTGGAGATGGTGAGGCTAGAGCAGTCAGGATCTGACACTGTCCTACCATTGCCGGCACTGTGTGTTGGTGGAGATGGTGAGTGGAGATGGTGAGGCTAGTCAGGGATGACACTGTCCTACCATTGCCGCACTGTGTGTTGGTGGAGATGGTGAGGCTAGGAGCAGTCAGGATCTGACACTGTCCTACCATTGCGGCACTGTGTGTTGGTGGAGATGGTGAGGCTAGAGCAGTCAGGATCTGACACTGTCCTACCATTGCCGGCACTGTGTGTTGGTGGAGATGGTGAGGCTAGAGCAGTCAGGATCTGACACTGTCCTACCATTGCCGGCACTGTGTGTTGGTGGAGATGGTGAGGCTAGAGCAGTCAGGATCTGACACTGTCCTACCATTGCCGGCACTGTGTGTTGGTGGAGATGGTGAGGCTAGAGCAGTCAGGATGGTGACACTGTCCTACCATTGCCGGCACTGTGTGTTGGTGGAGATGGTGAGGCTAGAGCAGTCAGGATCTGACCTGTCCTACCATTGCCGGCACTGTGTGTTGGTGGAGATGGCACTGTGTTGCCGCACTGTGTGTTGGTGGAGATGGTGAGGAACTGAAATAGGATCATTGACAGTCACACCACCTTCAGGCAGCACTGGCACTGTGTTGGTGGAGATGGTGAGGCTAGAGCAGTCAGGATCAGACACTGTCCTACCATCTTACTGTCAGTTTGATGGTGAGGAACTAGTGAAGTCACAGGAACTTCAGTTGCAGGCACAGTGTGTTGGTGAGGTAGACAGAACTGACACCATTTACAAGTCATACAGGTCAGGAGGAACTTCAGTTGTATTACTGCAGGTCAACGTTTGGAAGTCATACAGGTCATGAACGTTTACTACTTGAAACCCATAATGTATGCTTGGTGCTCACAAACAACAATCCTGATCAGCATGAGTCCGTGATCCAAACCTACATACACCAGATCTGGGCTACAGGACACAAGTCTGCATGGCACTGCTCTGGTGGTTTGAAACACTGGTCGAACTCTGTGTTGCTATTATGGATGATGTATGTGTTGCTAGGGATTGTTAGAGATGCATATCTAAGTGATGCACCAAAATAACAGGGTATGTTGTGCACAGTAGATCCTGCTTATACGTTCAGTTACATATAAGCATGTTTGACTTATCTTCCAGATCATCATGACCATGTTTGACTACCCAATCATCATGAATGTCCACTTACAAGAGAATGAAACTGACTCCCTGGTGGGCCAGCCCGACACCGAGATGAGTGCTTGCTGTGGTGCAGGCTTCACCCCAGATGACAGCCTTGCTGTAGCTTGTTCCGGTGATGGCTCTATACGGGTCATGGATGCTGAAACAAATCGCTACATGTACAGGATGCGTCAGAGATCCTCTATCACCAACATGACCTTCTCCCCCGACAGCAAGAATCTTCTGACATCAGGCTTCCGGTCCATCTATGTCTGGAGCATGTCTGACGGCAGTCTGGCATGCAAGCTGACCAGACATCAGTCCTTCATCGTATGTATGGAGTTTACACGGGGTGGTCAGTTCCTGGTGACTACCAGTCAGGACAAGAACGTCGTGGTGTGGGACTTTGACAAAAAAGTATCCATCTGCTCCTATCATGCCCATTGCCAGGTGAATGCTATGGCTGTTGTTTCAGACCTGTCAGCCATAGCCTATGCTCCCGAGAATGTGGCCAGTGTGGCAGTGTTGAAGCCCAATGAGAGGCTGAACCAGATGCTGGAGGGAACCTACGTCCACACAGTGTCAGAGTCGGTGAAAAAGGCTCAAGCCCTGGCTCTTGCCTTCTCAAGTCAAGGAGTCAAGAAGCAAACTTCGGCAGCTTGTACAATACTTTAACATTCACAGACAACAAGGAGGCAGTTCACCCTCTCAACCATGTACAATACTATAAAAGACCAGTGGAAGTAGTTAAGTCTATCAACATAACCTGTGTGCTCATGCATCACAACTGGGCTGATGATGTTACAGAGTGTTAATATACTGACAGAAACAAATAAAGGAACACAGGAAAATTCAAGCGTTCCTTTAATATTTTCCAGTTTTCATCACCAGCTTTGAATAGCGCTGTGGGAGGAAATCTGAGCATAAATACAGGAACACTGCTATGAAGTGGTGTTCCCTTTTTTGGTTCCCTCAGTATACATTGTATAAGACCACAGGAAAAGAACGCACTGGGTTTACAAGTTGTGCAATGGTAGAAGGAAGCTTGTGTAATGATTCAGGGAAGGTTGTGTTATACAGTTATGATGAGGTTGTTGATAGACTGTTAATTTATTGAGTAACAATAGGGGAACATTATGTACTGGTTTTACGCATTATGCAATGACATAGATAATGTTTGTTTGTTAGAGTATTGTAAAGGGAAGATGGTCTTGTTTGTTAGTATAATCAGAGACCAAATAATAAGATATCATATCTATTTTAAGGTTTCTGGTATAATGTAGAATCTGAAAAGAAAATGATATACCGGTACAGTATTTCCATATATATAATAAAACATGGAAGGTTATGATATACAGGTAAACTGTTGGTAGGTGTAATACAACTTCACTGGAAAATATACAGTATTTACATACTGTGCTGGCAGGGGCGGATACAGCTTTTTGAGAAAGGGGATGTGCACAGTTCATTTTCACCCATTTTGACGAGAGTCTCAATGGTCATTTACTAAACTTTCAGGACAAATGGAGAGGGGTGGGGTTGCACAACCCTATCAAACCCCCTCCCCCCCTGGATCCGCCTATGACAGTTATATGAGATGATGATGTAGTGTTAATACATTGTACAAGAAAACAGGAAGCTAGTGTACAGTGTTTACGCATTGTACAATAGAAAGGAAGATGATGTTGTTAGTAGTGTTTGTACGTTGTACAAGACTACGGAAAGTTAATGTACAGTATTTACAGATAGCACAGTTATACGAAATGATGATATTGTAGTGTTAATGCATTGTACAAGACCTCTGGAAAATATTTCACAATATTTACTCTTTGTATAGAAATACAGGGAACATGACATTTGTACTGTATATACATTGTACAACACTAGGTGAATCTAATGCCCCTTGTTTACACATTGTACAATTATATGAGAAGATGGTGCAAGTAGTGTTAATACATTGTACAACACTACAGGAAAATTATGTACTGGATTTACAAGCTGTGCAATGGTAGGAGGAAGGTGGTGAAATGGTAGAGGGAAGGTGGTGAAATGGTAGGAGGAAGGTGGTGAAATGGTAGAGGAAGGTGGTGAAATGGTAGAGGGAAGGTGGTGAAATGGTAGAAGGAAGAAGGTGAAATGGTAGAAGGAAGATGTGAAATGGTAGAGGGAAGGTGGTGAAATGGTAGAGGGAAGGTGGTGAAATGGTAGAGGGAAGGTGGTGAAATGGTAGAAGGAAGATGGTTAAATGGTAGAGGAAGCTGGTGAAATGGTAGAGGGAAGGTGGTGAAATGGTAGAGGGAAGGTGGTGAAATGGTAGAAGGAAGGTTGTGTTATACAGTTAAGATGAGGTTGTTGATAAACTGTCATTATACAGCACTACAGGAAAATGATATACAAGATTTACTTAATATGCAGTGTACAAGATTTACACAATATGCAATGTACAAGATTTACACAACGTGGAGTGTACAAGATTTACACAATATGCAATGTACAAGATTTATACAACATGCAGTGTACAAGATTTACACAATATGCAATGAAAGAGGCAATGTTTTGTTTGTTAGAGCGTTGTACAGGGACGGAGGTCTTGCTGAGTACACAATGTATGATAGTACAAAAGTGTGAAGTTATCCCACAGGTGAAATCTATTACAGGGTCGTGATTACAGGGTACAATGTGTGAAGCCCATTTCTGGTTCTCTTTCCCCCTCCCCACCAGAGACCATATAATATGTTATATGGTTATTTGGTCTCTGCCCCCACTGATATTGCTGTGATATTGCCAAAAGCGGCGTCAAACTTAACTCACCTACTCATTCTTACAGTGTAAATCACAGTGCTTTGCAGATACACTCCATATATTGTGCCATACTGGAGATAAACAGCCATACACACTGCTTCACAGTCCAGCTGTAGAGAGCATAATTCAATATCTGTGCCATCCTGTCTGTAACAGGTGGCAACAGCCTCAGTTAGGAGTTTCATCTACTACATCAGTAAGTATTTTTTTAATTATATTTTATATTATTTTTGTTGTATTTTCATATAGTTGTGATAATACATTCAACAAAGGTACAAAGAAAAATACAACAAACAAATATCAGTATTACGAAGCAAATTGGTTATGACATAATGACCAAAATTATCAATTTTGCAGCTTAAAATGGCAGAATATTTAATAGGAAGGTAATATTTGTTAAGTTCGTGTTGCAAAGACTGGAAAGTTGCAATGGAAGATCTATGTTTGGACAGTATATGATTGTTGTTGATTGTTTGAACAGGTATTATTATTATTATTATGTCAATTGAATTATTGTTTCTGTGACAAAATCCGAGGGGAGAATGTGTTGTCAGTATTGTCTTTTCGTGTGCTAACAGTAAATGCCTATACTTTCATGAACAGCCAGGACATAGTGATCTTTTACTCTGAAATATCTATATATTCTTCACTGCAACTGAATATATGCAATCATGTTATGCTAATGTTTGTTATGATATTATTGGTTTTTATGCAATATGACACGGGTAAATATATTTATGAATATCAGATAGATGTACTCAAAGTATATAGATTATATTGTTGGTCACACATTGTCATGGTATGTGCCATGATGATTCATTACCAATTTCCAACTTTCACTCCCATGGTTTATGTTTTAAAATGATACTGTTGCTCATATCATAGCTGTTTATGGATGTTTTTGTGTGTAATTTGATAACATGTGTTAAATACACCTCTCTTTCCACTTTGTGAGTACTATTTAAACCATTTCTAGACAATTCAGTTTTGTATTTTCAGTTAGCATAATGTTTACATGTATATTTTACCCAAAAGTACAAATGAGCCACATAGCATTTGCAAAGTTTTGTTCATAAAGGAATGTTTTGTTGGAAAAGTACATAAAGGTTTTCTTTTCATTATACTTACTCAAAGGCAAAAGTAGGTTTAATTTTCTCTTTTATAACATTCCATGTTTTAGAAACACTCCGCAGAGCATTTTATTTTAGTGTAGATATAGACATGCCGAGTGTGGTGTTAAATAACAACAAACTAACATGCAGAAAGGCTCTTGAAGGATGTTTTTTAAGATTAAATAGATTTAGTCTATTGCAATTTCCAACACTGACTTTTAAATTGATAGGTGTTATGGTGAATGTATGATACATTGCAGCCCTGTTATGGGTATTTACAGTTAATTGAAAGGGAAAGATCTTTTGAGGCCAGGTGCTTTCCTTGTGAACTAAATATCCATTAAAACAATGTGCAAAATTTACACTGGTCCTGTGGTCCCTGGCTAATAAAAATTCATCAGGACCACTAAATGAAAATTGTACATGGTAGCCAGTGAATTTTGTATTGATAGTTAAGTAAATCTGTGAATGTTATTTATGGACCAGTGAAGTACAGACAGGACCACTAATTATTGTCCACTCACTGGTCCTAGTGGGAAATTTTGAAAGGTTTCTTTCTCTGTTAAAATGATATCAACCCATCATCTGTCTTGACCAGTACTTTTGGTGTGTATTCACACTGTTCAGTCTATAAAGTCATACATTCCATGTCATCTTTAAAGTCATCAGTATGCCCATGTGGTCACAGTTCTATTTGTCTTTTAATATATTTTTATCTATCTTTGTGTCTGTTAAGAATAGCCACAGGCAAATAGGCAGGAATAAAAAAGTATATCTTTGGAAATTGTGTTTGTGTTGTCTAGAGATTGATTCCAAAGCTGGATTCGATATCCTTTGTATTTGTCCCCAAAACTTGGTGATGTGTTGCTAAATATTGCTGTCTGTGTCCATTACTCCCAATTAGTACACTGTTAAAATCAACTGTTGGAGATATCTGATCAATATACCATATTTCCTCTAATAAGTGCCAGGTCTCTAATAAGCGCAGGACCTCTAATAAGCGCCAGTAGTAAAGCAGCTCACTAACAATTAGGGTAATTACACCCAGTAAGTGCATAAAGCGCTGGGCCTCTAATAAGCGCTGGGTCTGGAAGTCCCTTGAAAAAAGAAGCCCCCCGCGCTTATTAGAGCAAATACCGTATGTGGATTATATCAAGTTAGATTGAATAAATTAGTTTAGGAGAACACCATGGCTTAGTTGTCAACATGACCTGTGTACTGGGGGAAACTTAATTTTATTTTGTAGTGGGGAATTACTGCTCCGTTGTGCAACAGTCAGGCGGAAACACGTTAGTTGTGACACTGAAATAGATAGGATATATGTGTCAGTAAAATAGAAAATGGATTTTAGTCATGAATGGTGGATGATAATTATTCAGCGGTTAATGTTCCAATAGACTGTTGCCTTATTCAATATGGAATGCATGTTTCAGATGCTTACTGGGTGTTTAATGTCATTAGGAACGGAATGTTTCAAGTCCATGATACCAGTACTAATGAATGTTGACAAAATCAATACTGAAGGCTGGCAAGACAACTTGTGGGTTCCAAATACAGAAATATTGTATAGGAACATCAACAGCCGGTGACCATTTGTAATCCTGTGCACTGTATGAGTAATATGACCAGGTATTGCCGTGCTGTGCAACTTGTAATTATGTGGATGCCTATGTAATGTGATCAGTTGTCCGATACCTGCAGATTATGTTAAACAAATCGAACAAAAGGCTAGGAAAAGGATATTGCCACAGCGACATTTACAGTGACTCAGCGTCTAATTGATCTGCTTTTTCAGCCATATCAAAAGGTGCCATGGCCTGTAGTAGTCAGCAGACATTATGTTGACTAAGTGAAAAGTGCATGTCATGCTCTAGGAAGTACGGTACAAGATACAACCGTGGTCAGGGGTATTTATGCCTCATCATGTTTAGGGACGGGCCATATGGGTTGCTAGACAGGTCAAAGATAACCAACTCAGATGCCCCACATAGGAAATTTGCAGATCTGGGCTTATGGAATCCATCTCGACTATAGTGGAGATAGATTGACATGAGTGAAGATTCTAATCCTGGAACTTGTATGACGTAGCATTCTGTGTTTGTTGCAATTGGTCTCCGATTTACTGAGAGAAATAACTTACAACAGCATGTAGTGTACACTACGTAGGTACACCAGAAGGGTTTGACTGAGAATGATTGAACCAACTCATATAGTGCTTAACCAATTGGGCATCGAACGAAGAAAACAATCACCAGCTAACTTAGCTAACTACACATAGTGTGTAGTCGTCCTGCTTATATATATGGCGATAACGCGAGGGTAAGTTCAGCAGATAACCTACAAGACTTTGTCTTTGAGATGATGAACATAGTAAATTCCAAAATGCAGATTCTGTGTTCACATGTAGGTGACGTTGTGGAAGTAGTAATTGTGGTGTAGTGCAGTAGCTGAATGTACTCATACGGAAGTCTGGTATGTTCCTGTGCATTGGACCCGTGAAGGTCCGGGTTACAATGTTGATCTTCAGTAATCCATGCTTGTCGTAAGAGGCGACTACCGGGATCGGGTGGTCAGACTCGATGACTTGGTTGACACATGTCATCAGTTCCCAAATTGCGCAGATCGATGTTCATGCTGTTGATCACTGGATTGTCTGGTCCAGACTCGATTATTTACAGACCGCCGCCATATAGCTGGAATATTGCTGAGTGCTGCGTAAAACTAAACTCACTCACTCCTGTGCATTGCGTGGTAACTGCCACAACCACCGACAGTGAGTGAATTTGGTTTAACGTGGCTTCCAACAGTTTTCCAAACATATCAGGGCACGTCAGCTTATTGCGGGAGGTCATGATCAGCCCGACGAGACGTAGTTCTCAGGAGTGAGTGAGTATGGTTTTACCCATGTGGCGAATCGAACCCGGGTCCTCGACGTGACGAGCGAACGCTTTAACCACTAGGCTATCCAGCCAAACATCCGTTCTCATGAGTTTACGACTTACGCATCGTAGCGCAGAGGACCCCGGGAACCAGGCTGACGACTACGGTGAAGCACACGTTCATAGTGCTAACACTGACTGACTGACTGAGTTTAGTTTTACGCCGCCTTTAGCAATATTCCAGCAATATCACGGCGGGGGACACCAGAAATGGGCTTAACACATTGTGCCCATGTGGGGAATCGAACCCGGGTCTGCGGCGTGACGAGCCAACGCTTTAACCACTAGGCTACCCCACCGCCCCCATAGTGCTAACAAGCTCAGACACATAATCCACACAGCGAGTGTGCTTGACGTAGTTTATGTCCAAGAACCAGAAATAACTGACAACTAGAAAACGTTAAGTGCCATCCTTTTATTATACAAGTGCCAGTACAAGTCACAGATGTTGTGAGTCAGATGGATGGGGTAGAAACTCCAGTGCAACATGATGTGAACTGGAGCCTTGTCATGATGTAGAAGGACACGTCGATGTTTGGGGCTACGTTCTCTTTGATACACACTCACACAATCGTTTCTTTCACTTGACAAAATATTCACCAATCATTGCTTTTCTGTATGGTATGTAATGAAAACTAAAATAAGGTGGCCACTCTTTACTTAATTGATCTGTTAGCATTAAACCGCTTGATTTTGGGAAACCAGAAGTGTTTTCAGACCATGGCTTCTTGTTTTCTCTCGACATCATACTGATGGACCCAGCTCGCACCATCTTCAATAACCTTGAATGAAACACCATTCGGCTGGTAGTTACTTATCAGGTTAACAGGGCATGGGTTGTACTTGCCCGCATAACCTTCACGTCATCCGCCAGCATGGGTTGTACTTGCCCGCATAACCTTCACGTCATCCGCCAGCATGGGTTGTACTTGCCCGCATAACCTTCACGTCATCCGACAGCATGGGTTGTACTTGCCCGCATAACCTTCACGTCATCCGACAGCATGGGTTGTACTTGCCCGCATAACCTTCATGTCATCCGACAGCATGGGTTGTACTTGCCCGCATAACCTTCACGTCATCCAACAGCACTGTAGGGGCACAAACACAAATATGTGGGTATTCAAGACGTATTGTTTCTGTATGATAATCAAGAGTTCCATTATAACCTATTGCGTTTAATACGCCTGTTCAGCACCGTAGACGACATTCATATTTCCTTTTGAGGTACTCGTGGTTGGTCGACCAGAGCTTAAATTCTTTCACCTCTTCACCTAACGTTTAATTGTATCCTCCCGACCTCCCCGTATACAGCGTGCAACCTTCAACCAATATTTTAAGGTGCCAGGCCCTCGAGGGTAAGGCTGCCGATAACTGCTGTTTACCAGGTTTTGTCTATGGCGAGGATATTGATAGACGTACCTCAACCATTAGCAAGTCGATGGACTGAATCAGACCAAACTGTGAACGATGACTCAAGAAACACAAGGCCCCTTTGCACAAAAAACAAACTTAGCGAGAGCTAAGGTGATCTTAACTCTCATATTAGCATAGTATACGATGGTCGTAACTCTAAGATGACGCTATTAATATCTCTGATATTCCCTCAATTAATCTTGGGGTGGAGTAACCAGAATTGCTGTAAAGTAATTAGTTCATGTATAGTTCTTGAAAACCAACCCAAATAATTGACTTACTGAGCCGATTCATTTTGTTCATGGCTACCACATCCTAAGATATAACAGTCAGGCCAGGGTTATAAATTTACCGCACGTATTAATGGTGGTTATTAAAACTGACAAGCTTTACTGACTCAGTGGTTTGGGAGATGTCAATATCACAACACACGTGTAAAGGGAGCATGTAAAGGTCAAAGGTCATAACGGGGCCATACAATAAAAATGCGCACGAAAATGTAACAGTTTTGTTATAATCATAACAGCAGAAACGACTGACCAATTGGTTGAGTTTCCCTCCAACTGATGTAGCTGCCCTGGTTGTTTTCAATTGAACAAATATATGACTCCTATTCGATTTCAATTTGTTAATGGAAGCGGCTTTATTAGCAATTTTACGACAAGGGGGTCACATGAAGGTCAGAGGTCAAAAAAAAATTGGTATATGTAAAAATAGAACAAACTACGTTTTCTATATATAATCCGTTAATCGAACACCGCATATGAAATCACACCCTGTCATATCAACAATTGACTACATAAACATGAAGGTCAAAGGTCAGAAACATAAAATATAAGAGGTCAGAAACCCAAAACAGGTATGAGTGAAACTATCACAATTTAAGCTACCTCTTCTCATATTTAACCAGCAAATCGAACACCCTGGCACATACCTGGCTAAATAAAGGGCGATAGCAACGCCTGACATGTGTTTACGATGCTGTGAATGTTCACACTCAGAATATAGGGCTGCAAACCATGGCATACACTGACATGGCGTCCATGGGGGTCAGTAGAACGACGGCAGTCACATGTCACTTTAGTATGGCGTGAACCGCCGGCAAAA